CACATCAGTGAAGCTCAGCATGTCTGCCTATAAGAGGCCTTGTGATAGGCATTTTGCCACTATTGAGAGGAAAAAGATGGAGGAGCGTATTGAGTGGTTCGAAGAATGGATGTCCCAGCGAGACAAGTACCTACTTCTAGCTAGGACCCAATATTAATAATGTTTTTTTCCCATTTTTTTGTCATTTTTGTTTGTACTGTTATAATTGTATCTGTTTGGCATTATTATCGAAATAAATGTTATCTGAAAATGGTTGTCCATGTAAGTCACTAGATGATCAAAAATATTGATTCCACTTGGTTAAGGAGTCAAAGAAACAAGACGATATTTACTTAAGTTTAGGAATACAAGCTGATTAGCTTTAGCACCACACATCATTATCAAATCATTGACATACCCCTACTGTGTTCACTTAAACCACACCTTGATGGAATCAAAGAAAGACTTCTAAACATTAAACAAGGAAAACACCCTGCGCTGCCCCTATATATAAGAAGGATGAAGATGTGAATGAGTTCTACTCCTGGGAATGTTATGTTGCTCATGGATGGCACGTGCAACCCATCAAAGCGTTAAGACTATGCAATAGCTAAAGGATGACTGACTGAAAGAGAAATACAATATGTCAATTGTCATGATGAAGAAACAAAAGCAAGAGAAAACAATATCAAATATGTTAAATGGAAGACCAGTCAATAGCTTTTGAACGCAAGGCAACAAATGGTTTGCATTGCAGTTTTGATACTATCAACACTTCACTACAACTGCCCCAAATCTATGTCCCTCGCTACTAAAACCACATTTTGAGAAAAAGAAAGTATCGTATGCACTAAATCTATTAAGTCATGCTGTCAGTGCAGGGAGTTTTGTATGAACAGTGGTTTGATTTGATGTCCAGTCAACATCTAGTAAAGCCCTTAGTAAACTAAGCAAAGAGAAATATGTACAGGCCTTCATTCAGCCTTTCAGTAGTATGTTCAAGGGAATACAAATTGGTAAGGAATGGAAGATAATCCAGACAGGAGTGGTACTTTCCACTACATCAGTTTTAGAAATACAGGAACAATTACTTAGTATATGAGATTACATTTCTTCTAACCTCCCAACTAACGCAAGAATGTTAGGAGAACCTCTTCGGTTCTGATATACACTACTGAAGAATCCTATACCTCTCACCTTTGTAATTTCAATTTGCCCTTAATATCATCACAACCGCCCATTACATTTAATTTAAGACTCGCTTAAATATCTTTGTAATTTGAATTTGCCCTTAATATCATCACAACCGCCCATTACATTTAATTTAAGACTCGCTTAAATATCTTGTCCAACGACCTTGAAAGTTTCTAAAATTTTAAAATTTTACCTTTGACCTCAACTTGGCCTAAGTTTTGCCAAATCTGAAGTTTGATCTAATCCTTTGAACTTAATGAATATTCACCACTGAAATCTTCTTTCAGTGGCAAATTTGTTATAATTTCGTTAACACCATTTAACAAAATTATAGTCAAGAAAATGCACAACAGCCTGGAACTGAGAAATATCAGGATGGTATCTGGTGCGCGATAGTTCAATTAAAAAACAGAAAAAAAAAAAGAAGAAGCTTGTTAATGGGGAATTCTTTTCAGGAAGTTTTTATGACATATTCTTTGTTTTAGCTCACCTGCATGTCATAATATCAAGCAAAAGATCTTTAATACTTATTGTATATTACAGAATGCCTTAGCATTGATCAGAAAAATCTCACCAGATATACTTGGGCATGTCCACACCATTGCAATGAGAAAGTTTGTCATGGCTAAGTTACTTGAATCAGCTTCTTGAACTGCCCCCTTCACAATGGGTGTATGTAAGCTACAACTCCCATCAAAATGGGTTTCATGCAATGTTTGTGCAAGTGGAAGTGACTACATCCAATAGCCACGTCATTGTAATGAGAAAATTTGTTGTTTTATTTCTTGCAAGAAGTTTCTTGGATTGATGTATTTTATTCCTTGAATTACTGATTTTTTTTCAAGAAGTTTTTATGACATATCCTTTGTTTTAGCCTACCTGCCTGTCATAATATCAAGCAAAAGATATCAAAGTATACAAATTTGCGATTGCAAATACTCTGCAAAAACATCAGAGCAAGGCAAAAGAAAATGCGTGATTCAAAAATCGCATGGCTACGAGGAAATAGGGCTAGTTTCACTAATTGATGTTTAATTTAACTTTAAAAATCAGTCTGACACGAATCCTTATGATTCGTGTACAGTGCATAATGTAGTAGTTAAGCTTTGCAACACTTAATTATAGAGCATATATCATATTCGTTGGGCAGCACAGAGATTAGTAGTAGTATTGTTACCCGTTGAGAAACAGATTTATTTAAAGTTATAATAAATCTTTGTTAGGTGGAGTGTAGAGTAGAGGAGCTATAGATTTAGCCTAATGCACCACCAACGACGCAAGCGTACAAAACATTGCTTCGTGGATGGAAGTTTTCCTAGGATTAAGTGGATTTAATTAGGCTATAATGGCATCTATGAAATTTCAATTAAGCATTTAAATTAATGAACAGACAGCATATTGTTTTTATAAACTTACACTGCAGTGAATTTTTAGCTCTTATTCCAGAATTGGATTGACAGGTGGCACTTGAGTTCTTCCTAGATGATAAACTATTAAGTTATATGATTGCCTTAAAAATAAATACTAAATTTAGATTTTATTCCAGAATTGGATTGACAGGTGGCACTTGAGTTCTTCCCAGATGATACACTATTAAGTTATATGATTGCTTTAAAATAATAACTAAGAAAAACATTGCATGTATCATAGCGGAGGGCCACAAAGAAATCGTGCAAAAACCCATGTTTATTGCCGAGGCCTTGCGCCCGGTTCTTAGATAATTTTTCCATAAGGAATTTCCTTATAAAAATGAACCAAGACTTGCGGCCAACTACTAAAAATGCGATTTCGATATTGCAATTTCCTGATCAAATGTCTGTCAATGAGAATGCAGTAGCTACATATTTAAAACGCTTTGTAAGCTCCCTGAATGAGAAAATGCTAGTAAACCTTCTGAGGTTCTGTACTGAATATGATGCTGCTTATGGTGACAACATCTCAGTGGCTTTCAGTGAACCAATCCAAAAGAAAGACTGCTCTATGCGTCTGTGCATCGACTACACGCAATTAAATGCCAAAACAATCCATGATTCATTCCCACTACCCAGAAATGAGAGCTTCGGTGGAGCCCAATACTTTTCATCCTTAGATCTAGCTAATAGTTATTTCCAGATCACTATGGATAATGATTCTCAGGAAAAGATAGCATCAGAGTTCCATGAAAACTTTTCGAGTTTCTACGGATGCCACAAGGGTTGGTCAATAGTCCAAGCACTTTCCAAAGAGTAATGGAATTAATCTTTGCAGATTTAAATTTATCTTAATTGGTAATCTATTTAGATGACATTTTAGCATTTTCCTGCATTCTACAAGAACATGTCATTAGGTACTAGGTTGCAGATGGTATTGGAGCGAATGAAGATCGGATTTCAACTAAAGGGGCGAAAGTGTAAGTTCCTGCAACGAGAGGTCCATAATCTGGGACACTATACTGGGACAATATACTTTCCCAAATTAATACATACTCTGATTGGACATTTGCCTCATTTGTAGTTCGGGTGGATGTGTAACTCAAGTTGAGGAAAAGTTTCCCTCCACCACCCCCTGATCCACCATTAAATGGAACAGGCGATTAGTGCCACCCGTGTGGTTTTGCGGGTATCTGGTAAAATTCATTCCCTCTACAAGTTGACAACCATGTATTATTTAGATCTAGACATTGTTGCTTTCAGATATTGTACTTTGATTATAATGTAGTTTTATCGGTAGAATGATGTTTACATGGGGAGCATACTTGATAAGGTAAGTTGCTGATCCCTAGTCTGTTTAGTCATTTAAGTAATAATCGACAATTACACACAGTTTGGTGTTGTGTTCCTTTGTTCATGTGTCAAGTTGTGTGTACTTGCCGATGCTGGAGTGTTAATGCATATTCCTTGATTATTAATGTAAGTAAAACAAAGGAAATTGTATTTGATTTCAGGAAATATAGTACACAAAAATCACCTTTAAATATAAATAACACTGATGTTTGTACTACTAGTGAATATTAATACTTAGGAGTATGGATTGATGATAAATTGTCTTGGTCAACTAACACTGAAAAATTGTATAAAAAAGCTAACCAGACTCTACTTCTTAAGGAAACTGAGATGTTTTAATGTCGGCCGTGATACATTGTTTCTTTTTCACCAGGCCATGATACAGTCGATTATGTCATTCTGCTGTATCATATGGTACAATAGCCTAACAAAGACAAATGCTGGTAAATTACATAAGATCACCAAGTTAGCTAGTAAGATAATTGGTTTGGATGTCACAGAAATGGAAAATATTTATTTTGAAATTATTAGCAGGAAATTTAAGTGTATATTAGATGACAACACACACCCTCTAAGTAAATATATCAACTTCAGTAAATCAGGTCGCATTATTCCCTCATTAAAGAAAACCTCTCGTCATAACAACTCATTTCTCCCTTCTGCAATCCGATTGAACAATGCAAGTTATATGAGATAGCTGCAATCTATAAGTGTATATACAGTAGTTAGATTCTATGCTTATGTATCGTACATATTTTATATTTTTCTATATTAACTAATGAATTGTATCTTTATTTTAGCACCTTTTATCTATTTATATTGTGTATATGGTGTACTGCTTCTTAACCTTGGAAAGAGAATTTCATGTGAACTTTTACATGACAATAAAGAGAAACTGAACTGAACTGAAGATTTCTGGTAACTTGTATACTGTATATAGTTTGTCTTTTTGTTGCATTATGTATTATTCCTGATGATGCTTAAACAAAAGCGAAATGTAGAATATAACAGCCTTGTCAATTTTTGGAGTGACATTCATACTCAACTTGCATTTGTACTTAAAACTCAGTGCACATCCTAATGTAGAAAAGAGAAGATTGTTAATGTAAATTATATTCCAAAATATATACCAGAATAACTTCATTTAATGTTTTCTACTCACCCAGGACAAGTGGAAAGACAAAAAGACAATTTTTTAAGGAGTAAAGCCAATCCAAATTCCCTAGGCCAGCAGCAAGTGTAGGATGTTTTTGTTGTGGTAGTAAATTGAATAAACCAAACAATTTCTGGTTTCAAAGGACACATTAAAATGGTATATCAGTACAAGGCAGGTGGAATACCTAAAGCGAACACTAAGGAGACAAGTGATCAATAAGATGATAGTGAATGTGATGTAATGACCATGTATGCCATAAATGCTAAATGAAACCAATATTGATAACAGTAGAAGTAAATGGCCAAGGCTTGGAACATTGAAGTGGACACTGTGTTTACTAAAGTAATATCTAAGCAAGTGTTTTATAATAAATATCCTATTACTCGTTTAAGGTTTAAGATTTTTTGTGGCTCAATGGAGCCTGAGGGTACACTTCAAATATACAAGTGAATATAAGAAATAGTAGAAAAGGGCAAATACATGCGCGAATAAAAGAGCTCCTAAAAGACTTTCAACCAAGCATTGTAATACTCTTCTGTTGACTTTGCGTCAAAATTACGCTAATCTCAAGAAGATTAGGCGCAGAGAAATGTAATTGCCATGTGTATGTATATGTTGGTAATATAACACAATTTTACGCAAAATTTACGAGGAAATCGGCCCTTACCGCGGCTTGTCATAAACATAGCCACTGTGATTCTTAAAAGCAATCCCTAAGCCATGTTCCCAAAAAAACTGCACTACATGACAAGACTAGATCATATATGATACAATACACTCATTCAGAATTGGTAGAGCTACAGAAGTTAATACCACTTGAGCTGAGACAAAGAAAGACTAGATGATTGAAAAGTGATGCCTACAAAAGACACTTACAGCCTGGTTGCAACACTGAGCAATAACTACAGTGGTAATATAAAGGCAGTTGGTTTGGTTCAGTAAATAGTTGGATCGGTTAGTGGATCCTTTAAGCTTTTGATGCTTCAATTTCATGTCTGAATATGATATTTTAATATTATGAGCTTTGGCAACAACAAATTTCCTCTTTGAGCCAATAAATTTCTCTTGACTATATCTCTTTAACCACATATCTGTACTATGATGTAATGGAGACCAGATATTGTTGTTTCATCAACTTAAATGTGATCTGTATAGACATAGCACTAACTAATGGGAAAATTTTAGAATGGAATACATTAGTTAAGAAAATTCCTTATTATATTAATATAATATAATATTAATTATAGAGCTCCATTACGCTATTAAAACCACTCTTCTCTCCTCACTGCTCCAAATATCCACAAACATTGCTCAAGCTCCATAGAGCTTCTCAACACTGCTATACCCAATCTTATTCTTCAGTAGGCCATTAAAAAAAATCTCTCGTGACCATGTTTAAATCAAAATGACACATAACAAAAAAAAAAAAGCTTTTGAATGCTACATTTGTTACTACTACTGTCCTTTGTAGCTGAACAAACATTGACATGAATTGAATTGAAGCAACTATCTAATGAAAACTTTGCAGGGAACAAGTTACCTGAAGCCATGCTGAATGCTTCTTTTAACATTGTCATTGATGGCGGCCAAAAGAGTGCATTAAGTGTGGAATACATAGCTACGAATAGCAGGCAAGCAGTGAGTAACAATGTGCAGCCATGCGAGCTGTGAGTTTGCATCTTGAAGGTACTGGGAGGTTGCAAACTATATACTTCTCATTCAAAATGATATTATCGTTCTTCCTTATGTCAACACACAGGTAAACAATTGTTTGTTTCTACAGAAAATGTATAACCATTCTTAAGAACCATTTTTTTTTAAACATGGCTTTTTGCGGCAGAAGAAAAGGAGCCCACTAAAAAACTGTTGTTCTTGGCATATTTAAAGAATGGCTTTTTGGCACAGAATCAATACAGTACCTTGAATGCTAAAAACTGTTCTCTGTAGCAAATTTCATCTGTCAACTTAATCAGGTTACGGCTATGACAAGTGCTTGTGAAATGGTAGAAAAGGACTGAAGCGAGAATAAATTGTTGCTTCTTGCTCGTCGTGCTAAAATTTGGTGCAATAAAGCTTTAAAAGTCAATTTGAACTTTCCAAATAACATTCTGAGCAACGATGACATCATGTATGTAGAGTATCAACCACCAGAAACTGTTTCACATGGAATCAAAATGCAGTTACGACGCAGTCCTTATCTTGGAAATCCGATTTAAAACTAACATTCCTTGCGATATTGAAAAAAGTTGAGACAGTCTTTATCTTGGTAATCCGATCACTTTAAGCAATGTTCCATGACGTATCGAAATGCAATTGCAATGCAGTCTTTATTTTGGTAAGCGATTGTTAACCTATGTTCCAAATGAAATCAAAATACAGTTGCGATGTGTTCCTTTCCATGGTTAGCCCATCATCAATCAATGATAAGCACACCATTTCTATCATAATTATCAGTAGAAACATACCTTAAACTCTATATATTATAAATAAACCAAGGTGGAAAAACATATAGGGACACACCTTCAGCCTACAAGCTACTTCTTCGATGTAGGATTCAACTGCTACCTCTGAAGTGTCTGAAGAAGTTGTGACCTCGGTAATGGCAGCTCAGCATAAATGTCAAATCCAAGAGGTGACATCTTGTTAACACACTTGTAGAGTAGAATATGATTCTGTAAAGTCTTAAAAATAAAACATCAACGTCATGAGCAAAGTAATTTACTGACATTAAATAAATATATAATTGTAAAAAAAAAACTTTACAAAAGAAATATATAATACATACATGTAAACAATTTAAAAACACACTAACTAGTACAGTAAAGGCTGTAACAAGGTAAAAATAAAAAATACAGTGTTGGAATGGATGATTGATTTGAATGTTTGATTTGAATATATTTAGCAATCAGAAAATACAAAAACAATGAAGACAATACAAGGGAAAAACAAACCCAATTTGAAACTCTGAAAGCAAAGAATAGCCCAAAAAGGTTTTGAAGAAATGTATTTCCATTGGGATTCCATTACTTCCACAGGACATAAGCATTGGAAATTGTTAATTCATCCCAGTAAATATTTTAAAAATATACATAATTATATTATATTTCATTATATTTCTTACCTGGTCTTTCATATTCATAACACGATGAATAATTTTTTTCTTAAAATTGGTGACAACTTCTTTGTTATCATTTCCCTTGTAGTCGTTGAACACATAATTAGCAAGGTGGTGAGTAGCAATGAGGTAAAGTACAGGACACCATGTCTGTTTCACTATTCCAGTTGATAGGCCTGACAAATACATGCTCAGAAGTTCTTGGTTTGTTTCTATAGGGTGGAGGAAACCCTCTAGAGGTATCAAGAACTGCAAGAAAAAAAAAACATTGAGATTACTGAAACCAATCATTCATTTGAATGCAATTCAAACAAAATATACACACAAAATACTATACAAGTCTCATCATGAGGTTTAAGGAATGGAGTTACTATTGGTCATGAGTATAAATCTGGTTACCATGGCAGGAATTGAACCCAGAACCTTGGGATTGCAAACAATGTAACCATTAACCTATTCAACTCCACTTATAGAAATTTAAAGCATTTTTCCTATGCACTATAACAATAAAATAAATTGTATTTGTCCGGTGTGCAAACAAGTGTGAACTTTGTTTAAAGTAGAATTGATTGCCTTTTGTATACAAAGATAAAATTTGAGGCAAGATTAAAATTTTTCTTTTAAATCAAAAACCATTTTAATTTAGAAAAACTTAATTGTTCAAAATTTGTTGGTTAAAAAACTCTGATCAAAATCTATAGGTGGATTCAAGGGCAGGAGACTGGGGAGGTATGTCAGAGTATGCATTTTCCAGCCATCTAAACGTGCTATATACATAAGATTTAATATGGAGCCTACAAATGTAAAATGGATTATTGGGGCCAGGGCATCCTTATTTCTTGAATCTGCCATTGAAATCAGAATAAAATGTTAGGAATAGAAAAATATGTTGGTTTACCTTGCTGACAGGAATGGATAGAGACCTTAACACCCCTGCATGCTCACTCCAAACAGCTCTCCTTAGTTGTGAGCTAAACCGCTGTTGCAGGGGTAGGAGAATGGCATGACCAAAAAGATGGTCCCCAAATGACACGGCTGCAAATTGGGTCAGCATTGAAATATACCTAATGGTAAGCATAGAAAACCATAAGATTAGCAGCAGAGTATTATTAGTACATAGTAATTATCTGCAGAGTTATTATCAATAAATGGTAAATTACCAATTCTTTAAGATTCACTTACAAGTCTGGAAATGAAGCTACACCAGGTATTGGAATATTAAAGTCTAATTGTTGCTCCCAGGAGGGACTAGTGTACATTCTCATCAATTGAGTCAGGTATGACCTCACCTGGTCTTCAAAGAATAGATCATTACCTGTATATATAAAGAAAAAAGACATCAGATGACTGGCTAACTATAATACCATGTGGAAATATCATCAAAAAAATTTACATGAATCCAATATTAAATTATATTTGAATCGATTTGGTTTGTTTCTAATGATCCAATTATTATTTCCTGTCAGAAAATAAAATTTTCAGACTATAACATTTTATTTGACAAAAAAATGTGGCCATATATAATCATGATGTGCTTATATGTGGTCATGATGTGATGGCGAACGAGCTTCATACATTTACGATAACCTCATCCATTGCAGAATAGCAAGAAATCTCCTCAACACAATGAAAGTTACATATTCACTAGGCTGTAATAACATATATTGTTCAATTGAGAATGCTGATAGGGTATCAGCAAGACATTGTCCAATTCATACATTTTTTAATTAAAACAAAATTTAATTGGATCATCAAAAAAGAACCAAATCAATTCTAACATGTGGAAAAAAGGTGTGCATACTTATAGTGTAATGCCGGGCACTCACCACTCGGCTCCCTGTGAGCGATTACACGACGCAATGCCGTCTGCTCATTGTCGGTAGCAGTCTGAATGGATCGTCAATAAAAACGATCCGTTGCGCGCGCGTCACAACGTTGCGTTCTTCATAGAATCGCGTCGGCCGACGACCGTCGTGTGCCGTGAGTGCCCGGCTTAAGATCTTACCTGTTAGGAATAAGCAGAAGAGGCGGGTCATCTTGGCAGCAAGTGGTACCACTTTTAAACTTTCTCCTCGCCATGTTTCCATTATGAAAATCCAGCGAAGAGAATTAATGACAGTATTGGTGATGTGAGTGGGGAACGACTGAACTGATTTTCCCAACATTTCACTGAAAGAAAAAGATAAAGGAAAGTGAAAAAAGTACAATAGAACTGGTAGAATTAGTAAAGTAGTAGGACCAGCACAGTTAAGTAAGCAATATTATAAGGCCCATAACATTTCTGTGTTTTCATTGTGTTTCATTGTTTTTAATTTTTCATCTGTACTTTTTGTATATGTCTAATATTTCAATGCATTCTTTTAAACTTTAAAAAGATCTTGATAGAAACACTGACAAAGGTGATCAAGCTTTTCTGTTTAAAAATTAAGGTTGTTTCTTTCATTTACATCAAACATGCTTTCCTAAATTTCTGTGAACAAGCTGGTATTAGTAGTAGAATAATAGTCAAAGTTCTTCTTCTTCTGAATCATTTATTTCCTTCCTTTGAATTAAAATTGATTCATTTAAAATAGATCAAAGCACTAATAAGCTTTTTCTAGAGTAAAACAAAATAATAAAATGCAAAAGAAAAAGGCAATTGCCCGAAAAGATTTAAAATAAAATCTTGAGATGGGCCAGCCAACCAGAAAAAGAGCTGACAGAATACAGATGAGAAAAGAGTCAATACAGGACAAGCTGATCAAGATAAAAAAACAACAAAGAGAACAGATAGAATCACAAACAACACAACATACATAGGACAACAACTCTGACCAAGAAGATGTCTGTTGAAAATGGTTAGAGGGAAGTGTAAAATAAATGACTGTAAGGCAGCAATAGTAAATATAAGACACTGACAACCACTTACGCAGTTTGTGTTTCTGAATATAGGTGAAGTAGAGGCATGAACATCCAATCAGTAGGTGCCAGTTGTCCAGTGTGAGCTGGTAGCACAAAATTCTGGATCTCATGTGGGATGTGGTTAGCTCTTGCCCTGGTGAGCAATACATACCATATAAATATGATGTTATCAAACTTGTTCAATGTTTATGTTGCAAGAAAAAGAAATTCGACTACACACTGCAATTATCTGTAAGATATCCTTCGCTATATCTAACTGTTTAAAATTATCTGGGTATTTTAGAACTCATACTTAATTCTAACTTGCTGTTACTGTGGTAAAAACTTATCAGCTTATAGATGCTCTTTTAGAGGGCTGCAGTAAAGTCTGGCTTCCTTAGAATCACTACAGTGTTTTCAGTGCAATCGTTGTAGTGCGTAGCAGTCCCGATGCAATCGGGAAGGATCCCTGATCAGACCAAACAAATAGCATCACAGAAAGCTGTCAGCGAAAGCATGTAGCTATTGTATGCTAACCAAGCTTAACTCAACAACAAATCAACAACAACAAAAAATAAATAAAATCAAAATACATTCTTACTTTTTGTTTAGAAACTAATAACAAATAATTGTTAATTATTCAGGTTATGAGAATAAAGTAGGCATCAACCATTACTCCAAAAAAAGAAAAAGAAAAGTAAAATACTCTAGCTATTAAATTGCATTTAGATGTATATTACTATTAAACAGGAAAGTTCAAACCCCTACATACCTGGAAGCAAGTACATCTTGTTCAAGCCTAGCAAAGAACACCATATAGGTAGATCGTATAGTGGCTAGGCTGCCGTAGGCGTCTTGCAAGAGCTCTCCCCTACTCACTTCAGGCTGGCTCTCCAATCCAACATTCTTAGAAACGGATTGCTGGCGAGTGGTGTTGGATGTGGTGAGAAAGTCAGCTAGATCTGCTGCTATAGGATCACCAACCTTTCCTTCACTTTGTAAAAAGATGGTAAGAAAGAAAAAATTAGGAAGAAATAACATTTACTGATTTGTCGTCAAACATACACTGATATTTTAATAGCGTTTTTCATCAGTTTCTATAAGATTTAAAATTAGCAAGAAATGATATTTACTGATTCGTCGTCAAACATACACTGATATTTTAATAGTTTTTTTCATCAGGCTCTTTAAGATTTTATTGCAAAATACTTAATGATGTTCTTTTATATAATGTTTTACATTATTCTTAGTGTTTTCATTAATGTTTGTTAAAACTTCAAGGCACATAGAGATGAATGTTATATGTGCATGCACAATCATATCAAATGTACTGATTTATTATACCTCTATATGCACAGATTGAATTTGCTTGTCTGAACATGTTGATATACTGGTATGTATATCTTGGATGTGTCGGCATGAGTTGTACTTAATGTTGTGCTTAGTATTTTACTAATTGCTGTACTGTTTTAGTGTTTTCCTTACTTGTTTTACATGTGTATTACTTATTTGTTTTACTTACATTATGAAATCTGTATGGAAGAGCATGGTGGAGAGAAGTTCATGAGCCAGGTGCTCATCCCCTGCATGCAGGCTGGTAAACAAGACTAATGCTATGCTGTGGTACAGGTTGCTATGTTGGTGGCAGCTGTCACTTTGCTGAGCCTTAAAAAGAAAGAGTTTTAAATAATAATAATATAAAACTGATAAAGATATCTCTTCTCAGTGTCTTGGACATCAAACACAGATACTTGAAGGCTATAAACGAAATACAAAAAAATGAACACAACTTGGGTCGTTAAACTACGTAAACAATAATTATGCAATTTTAATTTGCCAGTAAAAATTGTCCAGAGCTAATGAATAAAATATATGAATCAAAGAAATTTAACATACCACCAAATAATACAATTTTAGTAACAGAAACAAGACATGATGCTCAAATCTAGAAAACCAAGATGCGGGACGACTTGAAGTTGTTAACCTCTTCTTGGTGACCTTTTCCAAGTAGCCAATCACATGATTGCTTTCAACAATTGCACAAAACTGAAATGAAACAAAATCATGAATGCATCTTGAACTTAACACTGTGAGTTGAAAGTAGTAACACAATTTTACTTTCTTAATTAATTACAATACGATACTCTTTTATTCTCATTTTAACAACATGGTAAAATGAAATTAGTATAAGATAAGTTACCACTACGAAAAAAACCTTCTCTTGAAATAATTTTAGATTAAAACATTGAAATACCTAAATTAACAAACTTGTTAAATTTATGGGTCAGAAAGCGAAATGACTACAGTATATGTCCAACTCCTACAATCTAATAGGCTGGGACAGAAAAATGCACCAGGATACCATATCCCTACCTTTCCAGTCATGCCTTTGTGTATCCTCAAGATTGTTGTTGTGAGTTTGAATAGACTACCCATAATTCCAACGGTAGACTGCCTCTGTATGCACGGGTGAAGCACCTGATCATTATCCATGTGACAACCAAAGTCCGGCAGTTGATGTGATGATTTTGACTTGCACTGCTTAAAATTACAAGATGAATGATTTCTGCAAAAACGAAAATCATAATGTAATTTGTAATAACAATGCTTGTCTTCACGTTCTTCAGATTAGTATAATATGTCCAACCACCCAAAAAATTGTTTCTTTTTCATTTGTAGAAGCAGGCCCCTTGTTGTGTAACACTATCTCCATCAGTCTTTCTCAAAACAAAGGATAAATAGGTACCTAGCATTGCTAGAGAATGTGCTGTACAACATGCACAACTAGATGTAATTCCCTTCCCATCGAATGAAAGACTACCAGTTAAGACCTTGAGGGCAGCTTGCATATCATGACATTGAAGGCATGTGCGAGTCTTGTACTTGAAAAAATGAAATCAGCTGAAGATCATACCTAAGGTTCAACATGAATGAATAAAACGCTGATGATGTCATCAATGGAATGAGTGATCCAGTTATAAGTACTTCCAAATGTTCCAAACATTCTACTGCATTATGGGATGTCTGTTAAAGAAAAGAGATTGTTAATGCGTCCTTGGTTGAGTCTACTGCATTTTGCTTGAAACAAAGCAAATGCTTTTTTTCTACATACTAACAATACAACTTCACTTAAGAAAATCATATTGTATAGATATTTACATAAATGTAATACAGTATAAAATACACAAATCAGTAGTGATGTTGGTAGTCTATGAGTGAGATACCTGGATAAACCGACTAATTGCCATTGTTCCTTAAAGAACAGCCCTACGACAAAAATAGAATCGACCGATTGTCCCGGGAGGCGACTTTGCCCACGCCCAAGGTTCGTCCACATTCCTTCATCGTCGGTCAACGAACGACGACCACACCCAAGCGCTTCAGCGAGTGTTGAATTGAATTGTCATTTATCAGAAGACTGAATTTCCTTTAAATGTTTTTAATAAAGAAGTTTCTCTTGAGTTTGTTTTGTGTTTCGTACCACGTCGATCACTCGTACTAAAGCTTGCTGCGCTGAGTGTGGGGGGCCTAAGCCTAATGTTAAGTTCTACAAGCGTTTGGCCTGCTCATGCTGTCAGACTTGCAATGAAGAAACGCCTTGTGAGGTTTGCGCTCGTAGGCCCGCGGCCTCCTTCTTTATGGTCCGTGAGTGGTTAGTGTTTCATACTTTAGCCGCGACACCCGCTGTTTCGGAGGGTTTGGCCCCTTCCTGAGGCTATTCCGGGCCCATCAACCGAGTCCCTCTGTCTCTCCTTAAAACCCAAATGGGTATCATTGCTAAGGAGGCCTTCAGAGAGGCTTTGGAGCAAGCTACTTACTCCAGCGGGACAGAGGAATAAAATAATTACAAGCATCGTGAATAAAATACAGATAAATAATGAAAAATTAAATATCTTTTACCTGCATTGTTAATTTCCCATAAAAAGATGTCAAGAAATTTATACAGCAACCTGCTAGTGTCATAGCTTCCCTCTCTAGATTTAGCTCAGCCCTGGACATCTCTGCCATCCACTTCTGAAAACACAGTTCAACCGGGCCTAGCAGCCCCGTTACATGACTCCAGTTGATCGGTGGTGGGGCAACCTGGTCAAGAACTGGTTCATCTGTGGGCCTGGTGTGGCTAAAAGGAATTTGTGCTTTTAGGTAGTTTACACTTTTAGATGGAGAATCTGTTATGTTTTAAACGAATTCAAAAGAAGTAGGTCAAGTTATGACATCAGCATTTACCCAACAGTCCTACTACTGCTATTACTATGCCTTACCTCCTGTTAAGTTGAGATTGCAGATGGGCTGTTGTGCCTGCAGCATTCACTGTCGCCTCTAATACACAAAATATTGCACTAGCTCTCAGAAGCTGTAAGTGATGGGCAGATACCGTCGCTGGCTCCTCTGTAACAGACAGGGGAAGTACCGAGAGTCTTTGGAAAAGCTGCAACTGCTGCATGAACAATGGATAGAGTTCCCTGCGAACCAAACAATAATTTAATTGTATATTTTCAAAAATGGTTATCTACGCTAACTTTAAATGTCTAAATCAAGTTTACTCTTTCACTTAAAACAAAGCATAAAAACAGTTTTCCCAGTACAAATTCAAATGAAAACAATAGATTACGTACTACACAGGGTTTGCTTATAACACAATAATATACTAAATACCAATTCACAAATCATTCAACTGTCATTACAGTAATAAGAACAAAGAAAGGCAAGGTAAGAATTTAAGGTAGGAATATTTGTGTCCATTAAATGACTCTATCCTATCTGTATATAATTTTAAAATGCATTGATCATGTTTTATTATTTTGATATATCATGGATTCATTTTCATTCATAATCTTTAATGTATCAATCCAATACAAATGGTAATCATACTTGCAACTACCCTCATCTCTCTTAAACTACAAAAAAAAAATAAAAATAATATTAGGAGTTAAATATTATTAGGTGTTACATATGAAAAGGTATATTGTTATTTAATGATTATATACCTGAATGCATCACATGACAAACCATAGCTAATCAGAACATGCCACAGCCTAAAAGTCTCAATACTCAGATTATATGCTTCACCAATGTTCATCTGCATATCTGTTGGCTCCACAGAGATGTAGCGAATTATAACACTAACCAGAGAATACTTGGAAAGCTAGAAAAAACATAAAATAGTTGAAATATTAATTCAATACAATTTCTTTAATTGCTCCAAGGTTCAAATATCCACGCGAACACAATGAAACACAAAACATATATAAAGGGGTATTAACAAGCTTCATGTCATAGTGTTAAATATAGGTAAAGAAATAGGAGCTAAATAATATTATAAAATGAACAATTAAAATTTTCAAGCTGTATAATGATAAATAATGCTTCTTATAACCATTCAAAAGGAGCCATTCAGGATATTTGTTTAAACAAGTATTACAAATGCAGGTTCAATCATTCTATGACATGTAACTAAAACTCATGTAAATAAACTTCTTAAGTTCACACACATTACAAAGATTCCCTTAGGACATACCAATGAGGCTGCGAGGTTTCTTCCCGTAAGGCAGAGAACACGCAGTAATTTGACAGCTGGGATTACTGGATAGTTATAAACATCAGTCACAAGATCACCTGCAAATGCAACAGGCCAACAAATAACTTATTTTGTCATCAAACAAAACCAAGCAAACCTGGTCAAACAGATGTCAACTTAACACTGCAAACATTAACCTACATGAAACACATTTAATGAGCTTGCTATGTTAATTTATGATAATTCATTTATAAATTATAATGGACAATCAATCATGTTGGGGAGAGGAGAATTAAAAAGTCAAAAGAAAAGTTCACATTTACCTTGCTTGACCCAGGAAGTAGTTGGCATAAACAATGTTACAACTGTGTCAATCAAGCGAGGGCACTTGTAGATTTCGTTTGCTGTTTGTGGCGAGTGGCGGGCCATTCTTATGAGCACTGTCAACACGTTAAGAACTACAGCTGCAGGTGGACGGACAACTTCAAGGATGTATCGTAATCTTGGTAACACATTCATCTTTAGTAAACCCTGTGAATGTAATCATATAGAAGTACTTGTAAATATTGGGTGAATGAAATTGGTAGTTTATATTAGCTCAAATGTGTTTCTTTGCTAAGAATTACTTAACCTCTGACATCAAATTATATAGGATCGAAATAACTCACAATATCCAAAATAGACAGGTATTTTGAATCAGAATTATACTTTTTTATACTGAGCTTAGGCTGGAGTTTTAGGGTATTTTTTTATGTTCCTATATTTTGAGGCTTAAGAAAAAAAAAACCCATGAAAATAGCTAAATGCTTGATCACCCATTTTGGCTGCTAGCTCAAATTATGACTAAGGTGGCATTTCCTAGAGCCACTTGAACATACAAACATAGATCAATACAAAGGCATAGATACATGTTATAAAATGTAATATAGAAAATATACAGAAAAGGACATTGTATAAAAAGTAAAAAGAAAAAAGCATTTGTACCATAACAACATCCTTATTCACTACTTCTGCATCTGGTTTATCTGGTTTTCCTGATGCATCTTCAGGTTTATTTCCAACTTGATCCTCCTCATCGTCTTCATCATTCTCTTCCTCAGCCTCAGTTGGTACCAAGCAAGGCACTTCACAACCATGGGACCAGAAATATATGTTATCAAGAGTTTCCTGTAAAATAAGACTTAGTAATTATTATAGGCATCTGTGCTTATGAATGTACAAGCATGAAAAAAAGCATTATTTTTAAAATCCCAAATATTATTACTATTAAAATGATCTCACCCTCATTTTTATTAAACAAAAATGTACATCTTTGGTGCCTACATGAGTTTACATAATCTAATAACCTAACGTTTTGCAGGAAATATAGTCTCCTTTCAGTATGTAGTTATTGGGAATCTGTTTTGTAATCAGCATTTCAAGCTGCTGCACAATTTCATAGGAACTTTGTCACTCCTTGGCTTGAACTCTTTCACTTTAATATTATTTTAAAATTTAAAATTCATTTTTATTATAATAATGCATACAGTTTTTTAATGCAATTTGTATTAAAATATTAATATTTTCTACATCAAACTGTAGCTTGCTGAGTGTTGATACTGTTATAAAAGGTTACAGCAATCCATCCCTGAGCATTCAATCAAACGGCATGGCTTACCTCATCTCCGGGATTTATCAGGAATGATGCCAAAGCCTCCACGGCTGCTCCAATAACAACTTCTGAACTGTCATCCAAAGCCCACCGAACTAGGAAGATAAACCCGGATTCTAGCAGCATTGGAATTAATGGTTTCTGAAGTTCCCCACCAATGTCATCAATTCTGTACTAGTAAAGAGAAAAATTTATTTTTTTCTTATTAATACAGCAACTTATATACAATGTGCTATATATTTATAGTGATTATTATCATTAGTCTTAATTATGAGTAGAGTTGAATAGCTTGGTGGTTAAGATACTTGCCTTCGAATCCCAAGGTCCTGAGCTCAATTTTTGTCATAACATGATTTTTTTCAAAACCAAAGCAACTCCACTCCCTAAGCCTCATAGTTTATGTAGAGCACATATGGTTTCTCACGTGAAAATTATTGCCACTCAAAAAAGTGATTAAGTTCACTGTTTGGCATATCATTGACCTTTTGTGTCTAAAGCTGATTAAAAATCATAATGCTTCTTTTGCTATAGTATGTAGTTTAATTACTTTTTAGTGCAGTTGATTTTTATATGGATTTGGAAATTCCAAAATAAAAGATTAATGAATCATTACTAACTATTAGTATGATTATGATTATTATTGTTTAGCATGAATTACTATCAATACCAACAAATGATAGGTTAATAGATGAAAATCCTTCCTTACACTGTATACAATTCGAGCAAGTGTCTGAAGGCCAATCACTCGCTGGCTTTGTACCGTGCTCCTTGATAACATGAATAACTCCTCTATTGTGTAACCTGCTACCTACACGACAAAGAATGGTTAGGTACAGTAAATCAACATAACAACAAGCACTTACAGTACAAGAAATCAAATTTATATGAAAGTACTATTGTTTTAACAAGAAGGAACAGAGAAATTAATAAACAATTCTTTTCTAAAAACAGGCAACATTTCATTGATCTCTGAAGCCCGACACACACTCCATCATAACAACGGTCAGCTGAAAAATTCATTCAAGGTATGTTATTGTCCATTCTAGTTTGCTGATCGTGGGTAGCAGTCTAAGGTTGTCGCTTTTAAAAATGATCTGTCACACAATGCATTGTGGTCTCATAGAATCATATTACACTGAATACTAAATCAGTGAAGAATTTGAAGTACTGTAGTGAAAATATAGCTAAAAATGCTTGCGTCTACAGAGAATAGTAAACATATTATAATTCTGTAGTATAGAAGACAGTTTAAAGAAATAATTTTCACACAGGTGTGCAAGAAAAATACAAGCCATAAATACATTAGAATATTAGGCTACTTAATGGGCTTAATTTCATTGTTTTTAGAATTACATTAAGTACAATCAGATAGAAAGTCCCTTCACACATAAAGCACACATCAAGCACACATCAAGCACCCTCCTCTTTCAGACAGCCATGCAAGGACCCTATTCACTCAAAATAATTCTTGACGTAATATACACACAGTAGCTAGTAGTAGTAACTTCTCGCTTACCTCTTGTTCATCACCATGATGGTGGAGTCCTTCCCTAACTGGTACATCAGCATCCCTAGCTAACAAGCGACCGTTGAAATCAAAGCGAGCTAAGCATCCTTCTTTACTTTTAGCCTTTGGTTTGGGGAGATCCTTCAGCCAAGCCAGTTTCTCCGTCTCAACCTCAGCCATGTTAACCCACTCCTCCTTCACCTCAATCGGCTTACTTGCTGGTAATAAAAGAGTATTTTAAAAAACACTAAATGCTAGTTGAGTATCGAGATTGATCACCCGAACATACATAACATGCCAACGAAACTCTGCGACAAGTGACTTTGTTAAAGTTTTGTAGGAAAATGTTACATACTAACATATGTAGAACCAAACAAAATGGCTGTCCAAATGTGTGACCAGAACTTATGAGAAACCCTTCAATGTTTAAAAAAAAATATGAACAGCTTTGGATACATCGTTTTTGTATGTTAATTGTTTTAAATATGCAAAACACAGTTGGGGTTTATTATAAGTCTAATTACTAATATTAATTAATTTTCTTAATATTAAATGGTGTGAATGGTAGATTTTTATTTGGTATATTACCTTCCACATCATTTTCCTCTTCCAGAAGTTTATTCGATGGAATTGTTTTATCCTTGTCTTCAGTTGATAACTCTATATGCTCCCTGATGTTTTCTTGATTTGTCTCCATGGGCACTGCAGCACCACTTTGTGGAAGGCCTTTCTTAGACTGCAAAAATTTAACTATATTTGGGTCTGTCAAAAAAAAAAACAAGAAAATGTTAAGTTTCTAAGAATTGCTTGAAGCTCTGTCTGTTTCTCTTTCTGCTAAATGTATGATTTGATTTTTGTATTTGACCTAATTTAAATACAAACTATACATGGTATAAAAATTAATGGCATTCTCTCCTTCCATTTGAAACTAAACTACGATGCTACAAATGAAATTTATTCCTAATTGGATAAGGGACGAAAATGGTAAATAAAATGTTTTACATTTTATCAGCATTTGTTACATACCAAGCGTGCTCAGAAGTTTCTTTTGTTCCTCTAAGATTTCCTCCGACATGGATTCTATTTTCTTTACATTTTCTTTATGAATTGCAGATGATTCATTTTTGCCGGGCTTACTTTGCAATCCTTCTCCCGACACAATGTTTGATCTTGATGTTGAACTTGAGCTACTAGACTCATTCCTGTTACGACTTTCATCAACAGCTGCACTTTGCTGTGGAAGTGTCATCACAGTGACAGGTGGAAAGGCTACTGACACACCAAAACTTGATGGCTTGCATGATTCAACCTGTTGAGCAAACAGACTTTTCTTTTTCCCCAATGTCTGCAGAAACAAAATTAAGATTTGTGTGTAAATACTTTGTCAGTTAGATTAAACTGGTTAACTTTGCTTATGGTGTCAGGGACCAAATTTTTTAATCTTCTTGGTTGTGTCGATGAAAGCTATGTTGTGTAGAGATTATTGTATTGACAGTGTGTGATCTTATGGAAACAAGGGTTATATTGCTATTGTGTTCATTCAAAGCAATAATTTGATATGGTGCTTTTCCAACATTTTTAAATTGCAGACTCTGCATCATTTTCCTCCAACATCTCAAGCCGTGCTCAAAAAAATTTAAGGTGTGTTGAAATCCAGCTGTCATGTATGAAACACTTACAGCAGTGGATGACGAATGCCCTCTATGTAGTACAGTAGGAAATCCTTGAGTTGTTGAGCTTGGAAGATATACTGGCACATTCCTGACATCACGTTCCTTAGGGAAAAATTAATTGGATTATTACTGGAATAAGTTTTATGTAGTCTAGATTGAATAAACAAATTTGCATGTGTGTAAATATGTAGTATGTATCCAAATGCAATATATATATATATATATATATATATATACTTTTAATTTTAAATTGTTTTGCATCATATGGACAGAAATAAATATATTTACATAAAATTCTATACACCCCTTGGTAAAAGGATGTGTTCAACATACATTTTACATTCTGAAACAGGATTTTTTATTGTGGAAATAGTGGTTGCAATCAGTGACTAGGGCAAGAATGTGGGAAGGGTAATGGTCAAAGAGTTTTAAAATAATATCAACAATCATATCAAGTTTACCATTATCTGTGTCAATACACTTCGGAGATCTGAATCTTGAGCTAGAAAAAATATCACATTTGAGTAAGTTCTACTAAAATTAATAGTAGCAATTAAAAATAAAATAAACAAGGCAGAGAAATGCAAATCAGCTAAAAATTTACATACAGGTGTCTAACAATTGTCAGCTACCCATTTGCATAGATAAAAGTTTCTAACGGCTATGTTCTCACACGGCAGCTAATGGGTAGCAGGATCTGTTAGCTGCCGTGCGTCCATACGAGAAAATCCCGATCCGTATACCAAGAATATGATGATCGAATCACTGGCCAAAAAGAAACTGGAAATTGTTAATACGTACGTGTGATTGGATGATGATAGAAACGCGCTCAACTTGCTAACCGATAGCGCTTGCTAACTGTTAGTGTATCCGGATACCGCTAACGGTTAGCGCTAACCGATCGGGCATTCTCACTCAGGTGCTAACGGTTAGCTCCCAATCTGGATACTAGGTCTCTTGTGAGAACCAGGCTAACAACTGATGTCAATTACTAATTTACATACAGGTGGTTAAAAATAGCTATGTCTGTTACTAATTTACATCACAACCAAGAAGTTATTAATTACATCCAGGAGAATCACAATAGTTGAATTAGTAACAATACTGTTTAAGAATACCTTTGTCAGTTACTAATTTACATACAGCTCTGCCTAACAATATAATTACTAATTAGCATACAGGCACTAAACATACTCTCATTTACTACATACAATCTACAGCAAAATATTTATATTTCACATGTTCTACTAGGCCAACTGCAATACTGTAGAACACAGAACCAAGAACGCTTTTAAAGAAAACCTACTGACTACATACCGTCCATGGCTTCATGAGGATCTTGATCGCCATCCAGGTCAATTATAATCCGTTCAGATCTTCTGTCTGGCTGAAGTTTAAAACAAGTATAGAACAAATTGAAAATATTAATACATTTATGTATTTACAATATTTTTTTTATATAATATCTTACAGGATACATATTTCTCAAGATTCAAACTAGATGGGTTCAATCCATAGTTTTGCTATGATTTCCAAGCTGTGACCTACAGCTTTCTAGCTTAAACATAGAACTACTATGTGCGAGTGTTTCAGTCAGTTGTATGAAAGTGCCTCGATCTGCACATATAGCCGATAGGACAATGGGTATGAAACTTGCCTTCGAATACCACCACAGACATTTTTTTCCCATACAACTGGAACCTCTTGTTGAAGGGCTATTCTTGATACGATTGCATGTGGACAGTGTCAACAGAATTTACTTTTAGTATATAATAAATAATACTCTGTTCAGTAGAATATTTTTCCTAATATAAAAATAAATAAAAAATATTTTGAACATCTTTACCATTTTAGACCTTTCCTCTTTGAACCTGGATTTCTTTTTCTGAGCCTGACTGACCCTTGGTGGCACCATACCTGATAATCCCGCTGAAATGTAATGACGAGTAGAAATTTAAATTACTTATTTTCATAAAGTCTACATAATAATAATAAAATATATAATCATATGTCTTGATAACAATATCTCAATGCTTTGACTAAAGATGGGAATTTGGGACAGAAGATTGAGGTGGGAACATTATTGTTCACACATAAATTATGTTACATTCTGATACAATTCCAATGTGCCTCTTACAAGATTGAAGTATACTTTCTCGTGCTATCACACATGTGGTGTACGTTCTGTCAACATCAAAAGCACATCATGTGCCTATACATGGTCATGATGTCATGTCATGACAAGCGAAATAGCTAATCCAGTCAAGGAGTTCCTTCAACAGTCAGACCCAGCATGTTTTTAGATGGTAGTAGACTCCCTCTGGGATGATTTGATTTGATTTGAGCTTTACCCACAGGAAAATCACAGGTATTTGTCATATAAAACGTACAGAGCATAGGGAGAAGGGATGTAAATTTTAAGGAGTGGAACCCCAACCCTGAGTCTGGAAGGTGGTATACAGCAATTCCTAAACCTCAGTTATATAGTTTTACAGTTTACTGTAACCTATCCTGTATTTAACAGTCACATGCTTTTATTCAAGTATGAACATCTACTGAGAATCATATTACAATATTCAATAACATTATGAAACAGGTTTATAGTATTGAATTAAGCATATTAATGATCAAAAGCTAAGTGCAGGCACACACTTCTTTGGTCGCTAGGACCAGCCAATGAATTCATCTCTGCTCCTTGTAACGGCTTGACAAAGCCATTGGCTGATTGTGGGTGGGATTGACGATCCACTCCACCCATCCTATCGCGTTGCATTCCCACATAAAATCATTATGGCGAATGACTTCTTCACTAAAATCTGCCGACTTTCAGTTTAAATGTTGGAAATTAAATTGATAAAAAAAATATACAAGCATTAATGTTTAATGAAAATAGCGGAATTATATTTCAAATCTTTAGAAAATGGCTGCCAATCCCACCTGACATTTGTACAACATCACGCTTGACCTTTCCATGTTTCTCTGGAACACTGTCAATCTGTCTGCTGCCCTCTGCCTTGCGTTTGTCACCAGCTTTGAAAACAGTGACTGATGGGTTCACTTTGTTCTTTAAGAATTCTTCCTGAAGTTTTAAGAGGTCGTCTTCATTCTCTCCTGGTTTTGGACGTTTTATCATTTTTCTTGTTCACTAAAATTAAGCGTGAAAAATATAAAACAAAATTAGTTTATCAAACTAGTGATGCACTTTGAATGGTAGGTAGGGGCAAAACTATCTAACAGTCACTAAATCTGACAATTACTGACAGAAGTGGTATGGGTTTACCATATTAGGCACTAGACAAATCTGAATTATCCATTTTTGGGACTACCTGTGCTTAAGTACGGATATACAGAATTAGACAAAAATGCTACAGAAGTTTATCATTAGGCCTAGACCCTTAAATAAATAGGACTACACATTGTTTAACATCAGTGAAAACTATTTTCATCAAATCAAATACTTAGTAATAACCATAACACATGACCTTAAAAAGCATGCCCAAATTTTACTTCTCTATAAATCCTTGAATAATGTAAACACTTAAATCAGAATCCATAGTTATCCTCTACAAATCCCACATTCAGTCTGCATTTGAATATTCTTACTCTTTTTACAGCCTTCTTCCAAAATGCGACAAATATTTCATTCAACGTATCGAAACGCTCCTTACCAAAATTATTGATCCCACTCTTTTTTTTTATAACTACATCTCCATAGGGACTTCCTTCGGCACTGTTCCATTCGACTCGTGCCACAAATATTGTACCTAACCATTCTTTACATTCGTTTTTTTCTACCTCGACGATCGTCCTCCATCACGTTACAAAATTCTCAACATTCTGCTTTCCTGCCCTTCCATGCACAAAATTCTCGACTTCTTTTTTGCCATTGCTGTGTGCCTTTATTGCCACCTCGCTCTCGATCCTGCCATATCCTCTCCTTCCGACATTAAAACCGCTTTTTTCATGTAGGCCCAATTATAGTTAAGCATAGTTAAATTACCTCTTGTATACTGTATATTTTGTACTTTTTGTTCATGTTTGGCGGATAATAGCCCTTCAGGTTGATGTAGCAAAAAAATTTGAAATTAAAAATTCTTCCACGACCAGTAAGACTTTTTTAACAACTTTTTGAAAAGTGACCCATAAATCATTTTGTTTTTAAATTCCACAGCTGTTAATTACGCATTCTACATTTTCACTCACAAGAAAAATTTATTATTGTTGATAATGATAAAGATATTTTTCATGGGGGGAGCTAGACCTTTCTCTAAGACTAGGCTAGGCTTATGGCCTAGCTAGGCCTAAGAGTAAGTCTGCCAGTGCCTAGCCCTAGGCTCCTTTGCTTTCCTCCATGTAAGTAGGGCAAGGACTAGGCCTAGCTAGGCTAGGCCTATTTTATGGTCCAAATAAATTAAAATAGATCAAAAAGGCCTATCAACATTGTCATCATACAAATTAACCATAAAATATAGGCCTTTTCATAATCAATTGTACTAAAAAAAGGCCAACAAGTTGCCTAGGTGTGACGTTAATAAACTCCAGTTATGTATAGGTCCTAGGCCTATTCTCGACCATGGAGTAGTTAAAGGCCTAGGTCGGCACTCAGCGGAGCTGTGTTTCATCCACTCAGCGCGCACACACACAACACACACAAACGCATGCAGGCAGGCCTTACATTTTTGCGGCCTAGCAGACTCACATTGGCTCTGCATCTTACTAGGCCTAATATCTACATATAATATACATTATAATTATACACAAATAGACCATACTGTACGTGTGGATTTGATATAAGATGAACCAAACGTTATCTCTTCCTAATTCTCAAAAAATTCACGTTTCTTATCCCATGTCACGCCATGACAACACAACCCCTTCGCGGTCGCCGCCGGGAGCTGGATGATGATTGATTATATGCGAAGTAGATGCATGAAATTGACCAATAGCGAGCCAGTAAAGATTGGACCAATCAGCATCGGATATTCAGGTTCCTTATCAAAAGTGTTTATGTTTACGTACGGATACTTTCAGTTAAAAACTGTTATTTATGCTTGTTCTACTTCAGTATTTTCATGTTTTATTTAATCACTGTAATTAGGTTTATACTGATTTGTTGTTATTGTTGCACATCTTTTATAGTTGTGCCTCTGTTATAAAAGAGAAGCAATGAAGTTACTATCAAAGAGTATTTACTAATCTGGTAGTAAAAAGATTTTTGTCAAAAAATGAGGTGGTGATAAAAAAAAAACCCAATTTTTTCATCTTCTTATATTTTTGCATATATTTTTTAATATAAATTTTTAAATTTCATGTTTACTTATTTCAATTTTTATATTCCTGTGACTTTTTAAAAATAAATTTAAATGCAAATTTATACCATGTTAATGTTTGTAAGAACAAACCTTAATCTTTATATTACTTGAGTAATCAGTGGCAAAACACCTATGTGCTGTCAGCAGTCCAGTCAAAATTCCAGTCCAGTGAAGTTTTCCCTGGACCCCACCAGGGCCCCAGTCTAAGTGGGTAAATTCAAGCTATTTTCCCATACAAAAATATGGAAATTTCCACCACTAATTCAGTTGGAGAAAATTCTGAATTAAATACACAGTATTGAATAGTAATAGTAGTAATACTGTATTGAGTTGAGGTGTATCATACAAGAATGAGTTAAATTATTTTCAATGAATTTTACACTGTTTTTTTTACTTTTGTGTATCCACTTTTATATATACTCATCCTGTAATTGATGTTCAAACGGCTGGATGTCTAAAAGACAAATTATTATTTATTTATTTATTTTGTGCATTTATTTATTTGGTATAAAATACTCAAAATGCAACAAAGGTTGAAATATTTTGGAGTTTACAATATGAACAAATAAAAGTATACGGTATATAAAATAAAACATCAAACACCACACATTATAAACACCAAACTTTAGGCCTATCAATTCAATTCTATCCATACAACTAATTTTTTAAAAACAAATTAGATTATTATAAATTTATATACAGGAAAATTGTTATACAGTATGTACAATTATAGATTGAAAAAAAATCCTTCATTATAATAATGCAGAATAACATTTCAATTTTTTTTGAAGAATTAAAAATTACATATTTATAATGTAATCTTCAATTCAATTCAATTCAAATAAACATTTATTTCTTCATAATCATAAGTACAATATAAACAATTTAAATGCTCAGGATCAGATCCAGGAGGGGGGACAGGGGGACATGTACCCCCATTTTGCCACTAAATTTCAAAATTTTCAATGCAAAGCAATGTTATGTGCTACTCACTTACCTATTCTGAGATTATTGTGCACCCCCCACCCCCACATTTGAAAAATTCTGGATCCGCCCCCTGAAGATAAAGCCGGGTACTCACTGCGCCCGCGGTTGTCGCTGACACGATTCTATATAGAATAAAACGCAATGACGCGCGCAGAATGGATTGTTTTTAATGATGACCAAAGATCTTGTAAACACAAGATAGCATTCTCCTCGATTTACGAGTGCAAATTCTGTAATAAAGCATGAATGGCGCCCTCTTGCTAAGTTGGAAACTTTTGACCCTTGACCACTCTGACCATACAGTACACCGCGCGACTTTACCTTAAGGTATCAATCCTGTGAACAGCAGAACAGGAACCATCTCATATCCATGGCAACAGATAGGACGCCCTCTTCCAAAACTGATTATTTTTTCTCTTCGGTAATAGCGCATGAATGACGCCCTCTTGCTAAATGGGAAACTTTTGAACCTTGACCGACGCTTCGATTTGTTACGCATAAATCGCGGAGAAAGCTAACTTGTGTTTATAAGATCTTTGATGACGACCCATTCAGACTGCCACCTAAAATCAGCAGAGGCATCTGGTCATCTAGCCCTCACAGGGGGCAGAGTTGCTTTTGCCGTATGATGCAGTGAATGCCTTGTTAAACTTACAAAACCTGGTATCTTTGTGGATGCTCCTTTTTGTCTTGCAAGTCATATGGACCAGCTCTGACGAGGGGTTTTTTTTGGTTCCTTCACTGTTTCTGATGCATATGCAAATTTATGTTGAAACAAGTATACAGATCTCTCGCTAATTAAAGATCCCTCCAATTAAAGACCACTTTTCTGTGGACTAAATTACAAATTTTTATAAAGTTGCTGAAGACCATGAAAACCCGTCCCAAAATGGTCTTAAGTTGGAGGGAGACCTGTATTTATTATATTGTATATAAGGAATTTGATAAAGTGATATTGATATTTTAAAAATTGCTAATTTGACAGGTTTTTCTCATCATAGCAATGAGGTTAAGGTAGCTTACCTGTATGCCTTGATGAAGATGTGTATAACATGGTACTTTAATACTCATACCTAGAGATATTATAGTAATACCTCCATGTAAGATGAGGATTTTATCAAAAAATATTACAACTTTAATTTCTACTTTAAATATGATCAAAGTAAATACAGTACTTTAACTTTAGGCAGTACAACAGATACTGCTTCCCTTAAGGTCGGTACTGGCGCAGTACACTGTTGCTGCTGTGATCCCCAGGGGCCTAGCCCAAATTTTTAATCAATTAGAAATAGCAGAAAAGAAATAAATTATTTATTTATATATTTTACAAAAAGTATAACACGAAATACGAAAATAGCACAGATTACACTCGTATAATTGCTATTAAGGAAAATATTTTCATTTCTGGTAAGCAACAGTGCAGCTTTTGCTACGGTTGATTATGAAGGCAAGGTTCCTCCTTTATCTGTTTCTAGCCACTGATAATGCAATTAAAATTCAACATTGAACTGCAGTTGACTTATAATAATACTAATTCAGTGCAATACAAGTTCTTTCTAGATGTACTACATGAAAATATTTATATTGTATTTGACAAAAACTGAACATTGTTAATTTTGTTGCTTTTGAAACATTAAAGGTCAAAGTATGAGGGAGAGGTATGGCACAAAGTTGCAGTTCAGCTTCTCCCAGGTCAGAGGTTTTATCGCTGTGCATTTTTCATGTGTCCCTTGGGCAAGCAACTAATCCTACGGTTGTCTCTCTCTAATCTGGGATACAAAAATTGGGTAGCTGGTAGGTTCAAAATGTTATTGAAATTCTCCCTCCTGAGAGCCAGGTTTTGTTCCTTTATTTGTTTGAATTGATGATCCACGTAATTATCTTGTTGGCATGAAGCGCTATATAAGGATCATACTGTATTATATTAAAATAACACCATGTGGGAGACCAGTGTTCAACACTGAACAGGCTACCCAGGTTAAAGAAGAAATAAATAAATTAAAATATTCTTAAATTATTTCTGTATTTAGTACAAACCCTTTGTAGGTTCTTATACACAATTTTATATTTACCTAATAGAAAAATTAAAAATTACATTTATGAACATGACATGTATAACCCCAAAAGACATTGTCTCTAGGTATCTTTAATTTCTAGCCCATAGCTGCTTGTATAACAATTGCCTTAGAATATGTTACCCCTCCCTCCCCCTTCTCCCCACCACCTGATGCTATAAAAATGCTACATCTACCCAACCGTTTTCAGGTCTACTGGTACATATGGCTGAAGACCACTCTTTTCAATCCACCATGTCACTTGCTAGAAGTCTGGCTTCCAAGCCAATAACTCTTATTACACCATAATACAGCATAATAAATATATTATTCACTGGACGGATAGCATATACTGATATACTATATAATACACTACAATACAAAATATTAAATATATTTATTATTATTCCCTGGATGGATGGCAATGAATGAAATATTTAAAAATATACTAAAATACAGTATACTATATTTATTATTATTCCCTGGACGGATGATATAGACTTATGTATTATAATCGATATTTACTTAAATATATATTTCATATATGAATGCATTTCTAAAAACATGCTCTGTTGTCATTTGTTGAATATCAATGCCAATAATCTGATTCTCATAACCCAAATAAATACTTAAAATTCTATTTTTATATACTTTCAATATATGTACGAGCTAGTCCACAGGTCGAGCGCTTTGAGATTATGGTATAAAGCACTATATAAATTGAACTACATTACATTTACATTATCTAAAATATGTGTTCAGTATTGACATCCCAAAATATAGAATTATATATCTACAAGTCTCATTTACATTTCTCACACAAAACCTGCATTAGAATTTCAAAAGTTTAAAAAGCTGTATAATTAACCAAGGCAGCAATTTTAAATAAAGTCAATTATCAAAATGTTGGTATACTAATGGGTTTTGAATAGAAGATGGGGTAGCCTAGGGGTGGGTCAGCTGACTGGACGGTCAAGTTACGCAAGATGGTTGGATGTGCTTGTATGCTGTACCGTTCCTCATCGTCATTGGTGAAATAGAAGAGCTCCATTGAGAGGGAAGCCCAAAGGGAACGGATGATTTCTGCATTCAGTCGGCCGATGGATACCATCACTGGTTGCCGGTTCAATATGTGACTTGTAAATACGGGCTAAAAAAGAAAGAAAATATCAATTAACGATTTGGTTTAACGATTAAAGTCCTACAATATTGGAAAAAATGCTCATGCAGCATTTAATCATTACCGTGCCATGAACACATAAATAACAGGTTTCCTAAGGAGTATTCCTCAAGCAGCTAATTAATTTTAGAGCAAATTCATTCAGAATCATTCAGATCCTATCATGTGCCATTTGTAGATGCAGTTGGGGTACAAGAGTTTCCTCTCCATGGGGTTCCTGTTGCTCAACAAGTTCCAAAATCCCTGACATGGGACAAAACCAAGGTTGGCAAAACATTTTAGAATAGGCACCTCTAAATGCATAGAAAAGGCACTCTTAGACTATAATAATGCTTTTTAAAAGCAGTGTTCCTTGATGCAATAACAATAAAAAAAAAAAAAAAAAAATTAGATATAGATATGTGCTTACAGGATGGTGACTAGTATTACATCCAATTGAGAACAGATGAGGTTTCTCTTTAAGAACAGACTCAGTCCACATTGCATCAGACTCTAGGCCCATGTACCAGTCTGATTGGTACTCATCGAAGTACTCCCGTACTTCATCATTGCCACTTGTCTCTCCGTACAAAATCTCATCAAATGACAACTTTACAGCAAATCTATGAAAAAAACACATAAAATTTTGTTTTTAAGTTTTTTAATTCTTAGTTCAGCATTCCCTTCTTCAATAAAGTTGAAATGTTCCATAAAAGTTTAAATCAAAAATAAAATAATTCTCATTCTAAAAGCAATAAGTATTATAATTCAAATATATTCATCACTTTTTGGAACTCCACATAGCCTATTACCTGCCCTGTACCAATCTGAACATTTGAGTGAAAATTTGGTTTAAATCGGCTCAGTAACAAAAGAGAAAATACTGGACACACAAACCCCAATTTGCTTTTTATATATATAGATAACAATGAGGTTAAGGTAGCTTACCTGTATGCCTTGATGACCAGATTGAAAAGCTCATCATCTTGAGTGAGCCAATCCAAGCTCATAGACCATGGAATGTCACCATTAAACACCTTGAACACGTGCATGGGACCTCTGGTGACGAAGTCTACACCTGATAGTCCAAGGATGTTGACTACAGAAAATATTGCACTGACAAGTTGGGTGTAAATGGAGGTAAGTGCCTCGTCTGACATTATCTCATCAACTACATCTGATGATGGCACACCAGAAGAAAGATCTAAGTGTTGCAGAACATGTCTGTACCAGTCTTTAGGGAAATCGCTCAGTAAGGGGCTGATCTGATGCAAATCTAAAGGTATGTCACGCCACTTAAGAGGAAGACTGAGTTTAGAGGAATGTGAGGATGAAAATTGTATCGACCCTGCAAGTTTGATAGAGCCTGTCTTGGTCAGCAGGTCAAACATGTTTTTTGTTGTCTTCCTTTCATTGATATCTCCAATGTCAACTGGCGGCAGGCCAATAGCAAGGTCTTTAAGAATACTTTCTAAGTTATCATCATCATTCTCCTCTATATCAACCATACCAGGAATATTCCTGGAGTCTGTCTTTTCTCTAGACAGATTTGATAGTGGAATTTTATTTCCTGACTTGGTAAATGGAACTTGATCAATGGATTCATCATCATTCCAGCTGTTTAAGCTCCCCCACGACGATGCCAGAGATCTTCGTGACTTCCTACTAGTTGCGGTAGCTGGTCGTGGGGTCTCTCCGCTGGCACGTCCACTGTCCTTTTCATCATTCTCACCCTTGATATCAAGTTTGGATTTATTACCTTTGAATTCTATAAGAGCTGCTCGACTATTCACAGATCCCCCATCAATTCCGTTAGCTTCAAAATGGTTCATGTGTCTGGGTGACGTTGTCTTTGAAGATGGTATTTTCTCTCTATGTGTGATGTGCTGGAGTAAGACCCATGTTAGACTCTTCCAGAAATTTTTGCCAATACTACGCAAAGTGTCAGGAGAGTCAATTATACCAGTTAACACTGTCTTAGCACTGGAGTATGTGTCAACTGGAATGGCATCGACTGGGGTTAAGACATGAAAAGGATCTTGGTTGAAAGTAAAGAAAGGAAAACCATCCTCCCTGTTGAAAGAACTTTCAAACAAGTCATCAATCTTGGCTGCTTCTTCTGTATGGCAGGATGTCTCTTGGAGTTCCATGCCTTTGATACTAATAGAGCAGTATCCATAGCCACATTCAAGAACCTGTAACCAGGTCATGCGATCCTGAAACCTGGCCAGGAAGTGTGCACCAGCAGACAGGTTGCCTAGTAAAACAAAGAATAAGATACAAATGTTAAAACAGCATTAAGTCCAAATTTCAATTAATAATAGATTGCAAGCATAGCATAGGCAAGGCACTCACCCAGCGAACCACTTGTACAACAGTTTTTCAAAGCCAACGCCAATTTTGGTGACAGTTGCATATAATAGATGCTGTCTTGACATATGTTAGCTGATCCACCAACTTCTTCAGGCCAGCTTCTCATTGGACGAGGAAATGCAATGAGCATGATGGGAAGAGTAAATACAGGCAGTAATGGTGTTAAAAGGAATGTCGCAAACATGATCATTAACAGGATTATTGGAAAAAATATGGCAGAAAGAATTATGATTAGTGCAGAATGTTTGAGTCGCTGCTTTTCATATGTGTATGACGTTACAAGAATTGTAAAATAGCAGCTAAGTTTGTTGATAAATTGATGTAAACGATTCCACAAGAGGCCTATGAACAGAAGCTGTGTGCTTAGGCCTAGTTCGTACCACCACCCTGAAGATGGGGTCAAGGCTTGGTTGATAACGTGTACAACAGAAATCTCAACCATAGAATTAAAAGTACCTTGCCATACCTGTGAAGAAAAAAAATTTAAAGAATATTTAAGGTTGATTTGTAAGAATTTCTAACATAAATAATTAACAGTTTTTCTTTTACAAATTAAATATAACAACACGACTAAAAATATGTATATATTTATTATCTATTGTATTTCAATAATATTTTGTGAGGGTGGTCAATCCAGCCAGATCTGATCAATTGGGACCCTCAGAATAAAAAAGAATAAAAGATGAAAAGTGTTCTTTAACTTAACTAATATATGGTATTTTGTACACAATGTGACAATAATCCTGTTCATATATTTTTTTCCCCAACATTATGAGCTCTGTCTAGAAGTTGGTAGCAGTTTGGTGCAGCGGGAACGGTTTGGTTTCCCAAACTCGAGGTCGGAGTTTCAATCTCTCGCTGTGCATTTTGCTTGTGTCCTTGAGGCTGCTCTCTACCCAGGAGTATAAATGGACACCTGGTGGGGTTGCCTGCTCCTGTGGTGATTACCAGCTGCAACACTAATAGCATGTGGACCCAATGATCAGGGAAAAGAACTGCGCTTTATAACCTCAAGGAAGGGGCACATTATAAAGAGAGAATGAGTGGCCAGAATAGTTTTTGTCGCACAAAAGTTTTTGGGAATATTACTATACCAGTATCAGTACCAGTTGGATAATTCTTAAATACAAAAAATAAAAAATCATCTATGAAACAATGTCATGACCATTGGAAAAATGTGAATAAAATTGTTCTGCTAAACAATACATATACAAATAAACTTTATCTTTCATAAAAACAAAAGAAAAGCATCTTCAGTTGGCAAAAATAGAATACAAAAGCTTTAAAATTGAAATTAAAAAAAAAGCAGTACTGTGTTACGTAGGTTCTTATGTTCCCACCTTCTAATCCCATGGTCCTACGTTCAAATCCTGTAGAAACTCTAATGATAAAAATAATAAGAAAGTATAATACATACTCCAAGTATTGAAATACACGCCATCGTGTTGGGATTCAATATTTTGACATTAATTATGTCATCATCAGGAATCATCAGGAATGTCATCATCATCATTCTCATTCCTGATGATGACATAATTAATGTCGAAATATTGAATCCCAACACGATGGCGTGTATTTCAATACTTGGAGTATGTATTATACTTTCTTATCTGAGATTAATCAGTGGACCTTTCGGTTTTTATAAAAATAATATATTAGCAATTATACTAACCCATCTTAAGCCTCGAATGACACCAAGTGTAAATATGAAAGAAGGAAGGGTGACAGGGTCTGGAGCAAATCCCAGGCATAGATATAACAGCATTAGGATGGGTGCAACTGAAAAGAATTTTTGAAGTTTTATTAGCAAAAATACAAATCATCAACATTATCATCTAGAATAACAATAAATACTTGCAGTACTCCATGTATATAGTACTGGAAAGAATAATAATAATAGTAAATAACACAGTAGATCAGATCAACATAATCATATGATGTTTGTTTGAATTCTTCGACTAAAAGCCTATTCACATAGAATGCAAATACGGTTCGCAAAAGCAGCAAAAAATTTTGGGAATATTATTTAATTTTGAGCGAAACATCCCTCTGTCTGGTAGTCATTTCACATTCAATGTCAGTGGCGGATCCAGGTGAAGAAACGTAACAAAATACTACTGAGTCCTGGCTTACAAAAGGCATGCTAACCTATTTAGTCCTAGGCATAGGTTGGCAATCGGACAAACTAGGCTTAGCCCAACAGCCTTCAATTAAATAAAATTTAAAACACCGTTTTTGGTTTGACGTAATAAATTATGTACGAAAGTGCGTTCTTCAAGCCTATCGGTTCATTGATCAATGGAAGAAAGGCTATGTATCCAACTACTCAATATTTTATTTCATTTCATTTCATTTATTTTGTCTAATTTAAACACACAAAACAGTTTCAAACTCGGGAAGACTTGATAACCAAAAGTATACTAAAATACTGTCAAGTGGCTCTCCAAACCAAAAGGGAAACAGGAATAAAAAAGAAACATAAAGTAGGAAAAACCACTCTAAATTTAATAAATTAAAATCAAAAAGCACAATGGATCAAAAAAAAAAAAAAGTAAAAAATAAAAAAATATTGTTGGAATATAATAATATATTGCCTATGTCTTTCATTTTTTTCTCTAAGTATATGCTTGCGAATAAAAAAAAATTACCTGACCTTTTTCAAGCAGGGGAAACCTTACATTTTGAAGAACTTAAAAGGTCATTAAATACACCTCAGAAGTCGGGAAAGCTAATTTTCGGCCACCTAGGAATCAAAATTTTTCCAGGGGAGAACCCCCCCACCCACCACCCCTC